AGAGATTTACAATGTGCCATAACTTTTCTTCCTGATTTGTGCTACATGCAGGACTTGCACTCGAAGAAATTGACTGGCGCGGGTGAGTGCAAAGGTGGTCTCTACCGAATGGGCTTGGCAGCAGAAAAGAAGAGTGTTATGATGACAACTGTTGATGTTGAGCTGTGGCATAAGAGGTTGGGTCATGCCTCCGAATCAAAGTTGAGCCAAGTCGATTTTTTGGAGAATCATTCTAGGAAATTAAAAGAAAGAGTTTGTGATTCATGTGTAAAGCTAAACATACTAGGCTTCCATTTACTCTTAGTTCAATAAAAACAAATAGTTGTTTTGATTTGTTACATGTTGATGTTTGGGGCAAGTATCATACTCCTTCGATTTCCAGTGCTTCTTATTTCCTTACCATTGTAGATGATTTCAGTAGGGCTATTTGGGTTTATCTTCTTAAATACAAGAATGAAGCAAGCAGCTATTTAATTGACTTTCACAACATGCTGAAAATGCAATTTGAAAAACAAACCAAGTGAATAAGAGCAGATAATGATGTGAATTCATATCAGGCTCCATGAGAGATTTTTATGCTAAGGAAGGAATCATATTGGAAACCACATGCCCATATACCCCATAGCAAAACGGGGTTGTGGAGCGAATACATAGACACATTCTTGAGATCGCAAGAGCATTGAAGTTTGAGGCCAATGTGCCAATCAAGTTTTGGGGAGAGTGTGTTCTCACAACCATGTACATTATCAATAGATTACCCTCAAAGGTCATTAAACATAAGACCCCATATGAAGTCCTGTTTTGGACAAAAACCTAACTATGACCACATGAAAGTCTTCTGATGCTTAGTTTATGCAAGAAACATGGAAACCAAGGGAGATAAGTTTGAAGTGAGGGGGAGACCATGTTCATTGGATATCCACAAGGAAAGAAAGGATATCGAATATTTGACCTTACCGATAAGAAGATCATTGTCTCTAGAGACATCAAGTTTGTGGAAAATGTTTTCCTTTCACTGATAATATAGAAAGGAATAATAGCGAAGCAAGGCTCGATGATTTTCTAGGCAACACTGTCGAAGAAAGTGATGAACTGACACGAAGGGAGGCTGATCAAGGTTTACTGAGCGAACCCGAATTAGACCTGGGTACATGTGATGAGACGAGACCACCATTGATCTAAACTTGTCTGAAGATCCAGCAGATCATGTTACAGAAGACACAATTGATCAAATGCAACCCACTGAAGAACAGAGAGATAAAAGAAGCAGGTCTAGACCCAAATATCTCGATGACTTCATTGTGGACTTGCCATCTTTGGTAGACCATGCATCACCCACCGCCAATCAACAACCTTCAACGGTACATCCTATGGTTAATTTTTTGTCTTATGATCGGTTTAGCCATTCGCACAAAGCTTTTTTTAACTTCAGTTAGCTCAAACCATGAGCCGAAACATTTTAATCAAGCTGTGCAGGATGTTAAGTGGAGAGAAGCGATGCAAAAAGAAATAAATGCTCTTGAAGAAAATGGAACTTGGTCACTTGAGGAGTTGCCAAAAGGAAAGTGTGCTATAGACTCCAAATGGATCTATAAGATTAAATACCAACCAAATGGCGAAATCGAGAGGTACAAGGAACAGCTTGTTGCAAAAGGCTTCACTCAGTTGGAGGGGGTAGACTTTCATGACACTTTTGCTCTGGTGGCGAAACTTGTTACTGTCTAAACCTTACTTGTTGTGGCTGTAAAGAGAGACTAGATCATGCATCAACTTCATGTCAACAATGCGTTTCTGCATGGAGATTTGGATGAGGAGGTGTACATGAAGATACCTCAAGGTTTTAGCAAAGAAGGTGATACTAGAGTATGCCGGTTGCAAAAATCTCCTTATGGTCTCCGACAGGGATCACGTAATTGGTATCACAAATTTACAACAACTTTGCTCGCAATCAATTTCAAACAATCGCATGCGGATCATTCACTTTTCATATACAAGAAACAGGGAAGTTTTGTTGCAACCCTTATATATGTGGACGACGTCATTATTGTCGGGAATGGTGTTTCTAAGATACATGACACAAAAATGTATCTAGAAAAAATGTTTAGCATAAAAGATCTAGGCCCATTGAAGTATTTTCTTGGACTAGAGGTGGCTCGAACCTCGGATGGTTTGGTTTTGGGTCAACGTAAGTATACTTTTGGATATTCTTGAAGACAGTGGGATGCAAGGTTGTCGATCTTGTAGCTTTCCGATGGAGCAAAATCTGAAACTAGATCAAAGCAAGGATAGTCCTGCTGTTGATGCTAGTCAATACCGGCGTTTAATTGGAAGACTTCTTTATTTACAAGCCACTCGGCCGGACATAGCATTTTCTGTAAACATTTTGAGTCAATTTGTTTCTGATCCAAGGCAAACACACTTGAATGCAGTGCACCGAATTTTACGGTATTTAAAGGCAACACCAGGTCAGCGAATATTTTTTCCAAAAGGTGGAGGAATGAATCTTGCGACATATTGTGATGCAGATTGGCTTGGCTGTCCTGCCACCAGGCATTCTTGTACCGGGTATTGGATTCTACTTGGAGGTACGTGCACCCATCTCTAGGAAAACCAAGAAGCAGTCCATTGTCTCCCGTTCTTCAGCAGAGGCAGAGTATCGAGCCATGGCAACGTCTGTTAGTGAAACTTTGTGGTTACGTTGGTAATTGAAACACTTGGAAGCTCCTCCCATTGGTCCTACACCTTTGTTTTGTGATAATCAAGCAGCAAGGCACATAGCTAATAATCATGTGTTTCATGAATGAACTAAGCATCTTGAAATGGATTGTTATTTCGTCCGTTAACGAGTTGAGTCCAATGAGGTTCGTCCAATGCATGTTCACACTACACATCAAGTTGCTGACTTATTTACAAAGGCTTTGGGTTCACAACGTCTTCATTTTTTGCTTAGCAAGTTGGGCATTCGGAACTTACATGCACCAACTTGAGGGGGAGTAAAGGAATTGAAAAACGGGGAGTCATCCTCTCCTGGAATATCTGATTTATTCGTTAGATTATTTGGTTATTATCCATTAGCTTGTCGTTATCTTTGTTTTCTTGTTAATCAAGAACTCCTTGTATTTAAACCATTTTGATAGTTGAATAGGAGAAAACCTTTTAATCCACTGAAATTTTGGTAACTGAAAGCGTCAACTATCTTCTCCCATTTACCTTCACAAATGGGAAACAATTTAAAGCCCTAAACCGAAAGCAAGAGAGTCGACAAAAGGATAGGTAGATTGCAGTCATCTTTGATCTCTATTTGTTTCTTTCCCAGGCAAAATAACAACCACCGCTCACTTTCCAGTGGTAGGCACCGTCACCATCGACGACTACCCTCCTTTTTTTTGTTGTCGTGACCACAATCGGTGGAAGGTAGAGCAAATAGGATGAGGCGGTGGAGGAAACTTCGAGAAGGAGTGGAGCGATTAAACTTAGTCGATGAGTAGATACACCACCAAGGATCCAACCCTAGGTGACAAAATAACAACCACTGCAGCACTTTCCGGTGGTAGGCACCGTCACCATCGGCAACTACCCTCCTTTTTTTCGTTCCCGTGACCACAATCGGTGGAAGGTAGAGCAAAAAGAGCGAGGCGGTGGAGGAAACATCGAGAAGGACCGGAGGGATTAAACTAAGCCGATGAGTAGATATACCACCAAGGATCCGACTCCGAACAGTACCGACCCAGGTACTGTTCATAAAAGCACAAAATTTATATATATAAAGAATAATATATCTTTACTTGTGAAGTTACACCTTTTTAAACATTGGGTGCTAAATAGAGTGAAATTTTTTCCTCTTAGATTTATTATTTTTCAACGGAATTTGCAATGAACATATTGTTGCTAGCTATATACTTAGGAAGGATAATAGTACTCGGTGTTTCTATGAAATTCTTTGCCAATTATAATAGTAATATTTGGTAGTAACCTATGATGTATATATATATAATCAATTCACTATCCTATCGTCGTAGTGGAAAAAAATCAAGAAACTCTAAAATTATATAATGTATTGTCTATATATATTTTTAAATTAAATATATATTTTATAAATATACAAACGAGTCCCCTGTGGGAGTACGGGACGGAAATATCCACTCTTGTCCCCGATTCCGAAAATAAAATGGGGTTTAATCCCACTCCCGCCCCCGCCCCCAAGTTTTTTGAAAAATTAATCTGGTATAGAATTAGGGTCCCACTAAAGTTTTTGACATCCCTAATTTAATCCCAACAAAAAATAGTGAAAAGAAGCTGCAAATCCCAAAAAAAAATCAAACAAATTACAAAGAATTTTGTTTTCAAACTTAAAATTAAAAGGGATTTTGCCGGCCATACGTTGTTTGTTGTTTGCCGCGTCATTTGGTTTTATAAATTGAATTTTAATAATTATATTAATAAAACGATTTTAACGATACGTACATAAAAATAAGCACGTAAAAATAGTTTTTTCTTAACGATAAAAAAACTATTATAAAAAATTAGAATATGTATATTACCGAGATAAACAAGAAAATTTACAAAATAACGGAGTGAAAATGTTATATTTAAGCTCAAAGTCAAAGAATAAAAATGACATTTTAGAAAAATAGAGGGTGAACACTATAATTCTTTAAAAGTAGAGAACCAAATTGAAATTTCAAAAAGTATAGAGTGGAAAATATAACTATTCAAAATAGATATACAGAAAAATGAAGAGAATTATTTTTAAAAATATATAAGGGTTGCAACATACGGGTTGTAAATGTTTTTGGAAACATTATTGTAAATTAATATACTTATAACTAGCTTTGGAAATTAAAAAATTAGAAATATTAGAAATAACTCAATGATAGTTTTTCAACACACGTATTACATTACAGTATAATTAATGAAAATAAAAATACATCACATATCTACATCTCTAAACTAATTACTCCACCATGTTAACAACTCCCGCCACTTTTCCCACCATCCTCCTACCGCTTAACTTCCATCTTCACCATAACCAACACCAACACCACCATAAACATCACCATCACTATCACCATCATCAACAACATCACCACTCTAACTGCCACTTGCATAGTCACCGTTGCTCCATCCTGCTTGAATCCAAGCAATCTTTCGACTACAGCTTCACCATAATCACCACCATTATTACCAAAAACCCCAAACGGAACTTCTCGAGTCCTGTCACCACCACCTGCTCCAGCAGTCTCACTACCACCTCTTTCCTTCTCCATCCTCAGGCCCACAACCCCACCACTCTTACCACCATCACCACCACAACCGCCATCACCGTCATTACCTTTTCCTTTGTTTAGTCTTTGCAGTACTGCTCCAATATCATTATTAGCAGAAATCCCTATTAACCGACATATACACCCTCTGTATATTTCTGATTTTATATTAATTGTGTAATTAATGTAAATTATTCCTTACTTATTTCGCCTAGATCTTCCCTAATTTCCTCCTGTAATTTCTCTGTACAGTGGCTATTTAATCCCATTATTGATCAATGAAAGGCACGATTCCTTTGTGAATTATATGGTATCAGAGCCAAGTGCTCCTCACCTCAAAATTTCTCCCTGTCATCTCAGCTACGACTGGACATCTTCACCTCTTTTGCAATATTTCTCTTTTCTCTGATCATCTTCTCCATTAACGATGTCAGACAAACAAGACCCAACACCTGTCAAAGCTCTCCATCCCGTCTACACAGTCACGAACATACAGAACAAGATTCGTACCCTTGACGGTACAAAGGTATCTTACTCTTCATGGGTTCGATTGTTCAAACTTCATGCTAAAGGCTATAGAGTTCTTGCCCACATTGATGGTTCCGACCCTCCATCCAAGACTGACCCGACCTACGAAATCTGGTCCGAAATTGACGCCATTGTCCTCCAATGGATATATGGAACGATATCAGATGATCTCCTTGCCCGTGTGCTTGAACCGGACTCTACCGCATATGAAGCCTGGTTCAAAATTTAGAACATCTTCCTTAACAACAAAGGATCTCGTGCTGCTGCTCTTGAACACGAATTCACAAACCTTACCCTTCGAGCAATGTCATCCCTTGAAGCTTATTGCCAACGTCTCAAAGACCTGGCAAGCCAACTGAATGACGTCGATTGCCCTGTAAACGAGAAACATCTGGTCCTTCAACTTGTCCGTGGGCTGCCATCAGAATTTGATACAACCGGTGCCTACATCAATCAAATCCTTCAACATGCTCCATGCTTCAACTTGAAATTCAGCGACAGCGTGCTCGAGATTCACACTCATCCACAGAAATTGTTGCTACTGTTGAACACGACCCACCAGCAAACTCAAATTTCCGACGAGGCGAATCTGGAAACAAAGGCCGCCCTCACCAGCAGCGCAACACCAATCGTCGCGCACCAGCATCTGCATCTCCTTCTCGACCTAATTATCCATCTTCTGGGCGGAAACCATAAACCCAATTGAATAAGAGACGATGTTTTGTGTCCAATCAAACACGCCCTACATGGGTTGGCTACCCACCATCATACTGGACCCAACCCTACTGGGCTTCTCCACCGCCGTGTCCATATCCCACTCAAGCTGGATGGGCCTCTCCCTGGCCTACCTCTTTTGCCCAGCAACAACCAAGACAAACACAAGCTCAAGCCAATCTCACAGAGGTAAACCCACTTGAACCTTCTGAACTTGGGGCTACCTTTTCAGCTATGAGTCTGGACCAAGAAAATGATGATTGGTATATGGACACTGGCTCTACATCTCACCTCACAGCCAATGCAGGTAAATCTCGATCCCTAGTTTGTCATCTATTAAATCTGTGTTTGTTGCAAATGGCAATCAAGTACTAGTTCTTGGATCAGGTGGATCAGGTCATACCACCTTACCCCATCCATCCAAACCTATTCATCTAAAAGATATACTCCACACACCTCACACCGTTAAAGATCTTGTATCTTTTCGTAAATTTTGTTGTGATAATTTCTTTTCCGTTGAATTTGACCCACTTGGTTTTTCTATAAAGGACTACAAGACCAAGAGGCACCTCTCTAGACACGATAGCTCTGGCGATCTCTACCCCTTCACCAAGCAAGCCAACGCTCCAGCTTCATCCTTTTATGTTTCTTCTAGTTCGCCTCTTTGGCATTTTAGACTTGGTCATCCGGGTCATCATGTAATAAATTTTTTTAGTCAAAATAAAAATATTTCTTGCAATAAAAATGATTGTTTGTCTGTTTGTCATTCTTGCCAACTTGCTAAACACAAACGCCTACCATTCAAAAATTCCACATCACTCACTCTCAAACCATTCGATCTTGTTCATGCCGACCTTTGGACCTCACCCATCCTTAGCAAAACTAATTATAAATACTACCTCATCATCATTGACGATTTCAGCCATTTTACATGGGTGTTTCCCTTAAAATACAAATCAGAAAATTTTGATAAAATCAAGACGTTCCACAAATATATCCACACCCAATTCAATACTTCCCTCAAAAATTTCCAATGTGACAAGGGCGGTGAATTCGATTACCAAAAATTCCATAATTTTGCTTCTACCACCAGTCTTCACATTCGCTTCTTATGCCCACATACCACCCAACAAAATGGCACTGCAGAACGAATGATTCGTCGCATAAACGAAATCATGATGACCCTACTAACCCATGCTTCTTTACCACCTTCCTTTTGGGTTGAGGCCCTTCATACCGCTACCTACTTACACAACATCCTTCCCACTTCATTACTTGAAAACCGAACCCCTACATCCGCCCTCTACCTAAAACATCCAACTTACGACCACATACGCACCTTTGGTTGTGCTTGTTTTCCCAACTTAACTGCCACCCAACAACACAAACTCGCACCTAGGTCTACACCTTGTCTTTTCCTCGGTTACCCAGCCCAATACCGAGGCTATAGATGCCTTGACATGTCCACTGGTAAAGTCATTCTCTCCCGACATGTAACCTTTGATGAAACTTCTTTTCCTTATGCATCTTGCACACCAAACCCACCACACAATTACTCCTTGCTCGAAACAGAACCCTCTCCTCTTCTCTTTCACCCTCCAACCACATCAATCTCTGCTACCACTCAACCACCGTCTAACCACAACTCCACTCTTTCTGCTCCCATTGAAACCCCCCACTCACCCACCTCCTCCCTTCCAACCGACCCCAACACTTCTTCCTCACCCTCTTCCAACCAAACCTCCGATATTTCGTCCTACCCTACCCCTCCACCACCCTCGTACTACCCCCTCACTTACTCTCGGAGAAGCTAACCACCCCCTCTACCCCCACCTACGTCCCATCATCCCATGACCACCTGCTCCAAAGTCGGAATCACCAAACCCAACCCACCACTCAACCTTCACACCAACACAAACACCTCCACTATCTCCCCTCTTCCAAAATCCCACAAACACGCCCTCTCTGATCCAAACTGGCACTCTGCCATGACCGATGAACATCGAGCTTTAATAGATAACAACACATGGGAACTTGTACCTCGTCCCACCAATGCTCATGTCATACGTTGTATGTGGATATACCGGCACAAATTTCATGCCAACGGGACTCTTGCACGATATAAAGAACGCCTCGTGATTAATGGAAAATGCCAACAAGTCGGAGTAGACTGCGATGAAACATTCAGTCCTGTAGTGAAACCTACCACCATACGCACCGTTCTTAGTCTTGCCGTTTCCCGATCATGGCCTATTCACCAACTAGACGTAAAGAACGCATTCTTACACGGGAGTCTCAACGAGACCGTGTATATGTTCCAACCCCCCGGTTTCACGGACCCACAACACCCAACACACGTTTGTCGTTTACGGAAATCTTTGTATGGGCTAAAACAAACCCCGCGGGCTTGGTATCGTCGCTTTGCAACCTTCATTCACACATGCGGTTTTAAAAGCACCAAAAGCGACAACTCTCTCTTTGTCTTCCAACAAGGCACCAAAATGGCATATCTTCTTCTTTACGTGGATGACATTGCTTTGACCGCTTCCGACGAAACAACTCTTCGACACTTTATCACTCTATTATCCAAAGAGTTTGCTATGTCGGATCTTGGGCCTCTTCATCACTTCCTCGGCATCCAAAATTAAACATCAAAATGGGGGGATTATTTCTTACCCAAGAACAATATGTGGATGATATTCTTCACCGGCCGAACATGCAACAATGCAAACCATGTGCTACTCCTGTCAACACCAACTCTAAACTCAGCGCAACCGCCGGCGACCTCATGCAAGACACTACTCTATATCGTAGCCTCGTTGGAGCATTACAGTACTTAACCTTCACTCGCCCTGACATTGCGTATGCTGTTCAACAAGTATGCCTTTTTATGCACACCCCTCGCGATCCACACTTCAACTTTCTGAAACGTATACTATGGTACCTCCAAGGCACTCGTCATCATGGACTTCATATTTCTCCCTCCAAATCTACAAAACTCACAACCTACTCCGACGCAGATTGGGGGGGGGGGGGTGTCCCGACTCTCGTCGATCCACGTCCGGCTACTGTGTATTTCTCGAGAATAACCTCGTTTCATGGTCCTCCAAACGACAACCGACTATCTCCCGATCCAGTGCTGAAGCTGAATACAAAGGAGTTGTCAATACCGCAGCTGAAACTACATGGCTCCGCAACCTACTCCTCGAGCAACATCTTCCGCTGCACCAAGCCACAATCATATATTGTGACAACATTTCCGCCGTATATCTTACTCAAAACCCGGTTCAGCATCAACGCACGAAGCATATCGAGATCGACATCCACTTCGTTCGAGAAAAAGTTCGCATAGGTTCCCTTCGTGTTCTTCATGTTCCTGCCGATTACCAATACGCCGATATATTTACCAAAGGATTACCTCATCAACTATTCACCCGTTTCCGTTCCAGTCTCTCTATTCGGCCAGCCCACCATTCGACTGCGGGGGAGTATTAACCGACATATACACCCTCTGTATATTTCTGATTTTATATTAATTGTGTAATTAATGTAAATTATTCCTTACTTATTTAGCCTAGATCTTCCCTAATTTCCTCCTGTAATTTCGGCTATTTAATCCCATTATTGATCAATGAACTCGTAGCCTTATACCATCACCTGCAACGGTAGAGTCACTACCTCTAGTATGGCCTGCCACTATGCCACCATCGTTTCTACCACCACCACCACTGCCATAACTACCAACTCCAGTGAGATGATCGTCTTCAAAGACATCAAAAGGCGTGGAACAAAAGTAATCCAGTCGATTTGGGTCCCGCCCTAACTCTTGGTTTTCATAATGCTTACCAACTTTAAATGGAATTGGACGTACATGAGAAATATCCTCAATTCTAGAGTAAAATCGTGCTACCTTCCTGGGAGCATCATGAGCATATCTAGTTGCGCCAAAACGGCTGTTGCGTCCATTGCCAATAAAAGGCCATACATTTTTTGCTGTTTCTTTACCGATCATTTGAACGTCCTCTTCGGTGGCTAATCTCTGAACTTGTTCACCATCCACAGCATTACCATTACCATTACTAGCATCTCCGGGGATTTTCTTACTTCTCACTGCTCCTCATCCACCTCTTTTCATTGCCTTGATTTGGAAGATTTTAGTTTATTTTTTTCACGTGGCTCTTTACCTCTATTATTTATTCGTCGTGACTCAACTGATGTTCACGTAGCGGACAAATTTTCCACCCACGGCCTTCTTACCAAGAAAGTCGCCTGCGCTTTCCTTATATAATATAGATTAATATTTGTGAATTTATTAAGATATATGGAAATCAACGAAACATCTTTTGTTGAATTATCCAAATAGTTTATTATTTAATAATTGAAAATAACAGTATTTTGTCGTATGTATGCTGTGAAGGAGAAAATTTTACCAAAATGGAACAGAAAAGTATAAGAATAGAATTTTGATTTTGATCCAATTATGTATTGGAAAAGATAGATAAAATTAAGGTTTTGAAAATGTATTCTGGTTTTATGTTATAATAATAAAAAAGAAGGCCATATTGATAGACATTTTTTCAGTTCAACTAAAACTTTCTAACTGAATATACTGGAAATATTGTTTTATTTGCACACAAAAAAAAAAATCTTCTCGAGTAAGATTTATCATTCTAGCTGAATTAGCCGGAAACACAATAGTACCCCAAATCTTGCATCTTTTCTTTTTTTAAATAATTTTTTTTAATTTCGATTTTATAGATTAATTATTTTTCATTGGATTATTGTATACTAATAAATATTATTTTTAATATATAATATTTATTTATTAATAAATATTATTCTATTAGGTTGTTAATTTCTTTTACTTAATTTTGTTTAATTCATTTTTATTGAATTAATTCATTTTTTTGGATAACATCACCATCGACTTAATTTATTTAAAAAAAATCTGATTCATTCCACCACTATCGCACATAAACCGGGTAAAAATCACACGTTGGGTTATAAAAAAAAACTAGAATTAATAGAAAGAATATCAACTTAAAAACAATAAACTAAAAAGAACGTAATCGACATTTTATTTTGATTTTCATTAATTTATGTTTAATTACTTTTTATGACAATTTGGATTAGGATTTTTAAATGATTATGTGTAATTTTTATTTTGTATGACAATTTATATGTATTTATAATTATTCAGCAACTTCATCTCTCACAGTATAAAACACTATAATATGATCATTTTTCATCATTCAACGGAGTCAGTCAAATGTACAATCAAACAATATGATTTTTTTCCCAGTCAAAAACTTTTTAAAACAACATTTTTCCAAATAGCAACCGTCAAATGGGAACTAACATTTATAAAATCAAAAACTATAAAAACAAATTATATACGGCACAAAAAACATAATTTTAAAATTGTTATATTAAATGCTTTAAAAGTTGTTATATTATTTGAATTGACCATTTTTTGTTTTAGAAAAAGAAAAAGAAATGAGCATGCCTGTAGATTTTTTTTTTTTATTTTAACAATTTTTGATTTTTACCATTTTTTATACTTTTAAACATTTCCAGACAATTTGCAACATATACTAATACTAACCAAAGATTCAACTTTCTAAAAAGATATAAATCCTCCTTAATAAATGAATGTTTTTTTGCCACATGTCAATTTCTCATGAGTTTTGACACTTGTCATTTTGTGGTATTTTTGAAATAAGTATTATCCACTTGTCAATTTTTGGTTTGTTTCAATTTTTAAAATTAAAGTCATATACTTATATATGTAAAGTATTAAACATCTGAGGGAGGTATTGAAGACATTGAGAGCGGAAAGGCTGTGTGCCAAGTTCTTAAAATGTGATTTCTAGTTGCATGAGGTGTAGTTCTTGGGGCACATCATCAATCAAGAGGACATTTCGGTTGATCCGGCTAAGGTTGAGGCGGTGATGTGGTGGGAAGTACCGAAGAGCGCATCTGAGATTCGTAGCTTCTTGGGTCTAGCGGGGTACTATTGGAGATTAATCCAGGAATTCTCAAAGATCGTCGTGCCTTTGAACTGCTTGACCAAGAAGAATATGACATTTCGATGGGGGCACAGATCAGCAGTTGGCTTTTGAGACCCTGAGGCAGAGGTTATGTGATGCTCCGATTCTAGTACTACCTGAAAGGCTGGATGATTTGGTGGTGTATTGTGATGCGTCGATCTCGGGGTTAGGTATTGTACTGATGCAGAGGGGGCATGTGATCGCCTACACCTTGAGGCAGTTGAAGCCTCATGAGGTGAATTACCCCACTCACGACCTGGAATTGGGGGAAGTGGTGTTTGCCCTCAAGATTAGGAGGCGTTACTTGTATGTAGTACGGTGTACTATTTATACCTATCATAAGAGTATGAAGTATTTGATGGACCAACAGAACCTCAACATGCGGTAGAGAAGGTGGTTAGACGTACTGAAAGATTATGATTGTGAGATCAGGGAAGGCCAACATGGTAGCCAATGCATTGAGCCGCAAGACGGTAGGTTCCCCGATTGGGAACGTGTGTCTGAGGATAACGATAATCTCTCCATTATTAGAGATGATCAAGGGGGCTCAGGCGGAAGGTTTAAATAACGAAAATTGGAAGTTAGAGCAAATACAGGGGAAAATTCCTTTGTTTGTCCGGAATGGCTAGGGTCTCTTGACTCAGTGTGGCTGGGTATGGCTTCCGACATCGAGAGGGGTGAGGCAGAAAATATTGGAGGAGGCACACAAGTCGAAGTTCTTTATACATCCAGGGACTACAAAAATGTATAAAGACTTGAGGCTGAGTTACTAGTGGCCCTGCATGAAGCGCGAGATCGCCTGGTTCGTGGAGTGGTGCTTGACCTGCCGGAAGTTCAAGGCCGAGCATCAGCGGCCTCATGGCAAGGTTCAGCCACTACCCATTCCCATGTGGAAGTGAGACGAGATCACTATGGACTTCATCATGAAGTTACCGTGGACAGCGACGGGCGTGGCTGCCATATGAGTGATTGTGGATCGGTTGACGAAGAGTGCCCACTTTATTCCAATCTCTGAGAGCATCTCCGCTAAGAAATTTGTGGATATTTATGTGCGAGAGGTGGCGGCAAGATACTGGGTGACAGTGTCGATAGTCTCTGATAGAGATTTTCGATTTACATCTAGATTCTGGAAGAAGTTCCACAAGGAACTGGGCACTTAATTCCATTTTAGCACGACATACCACCCCCAGAAAGATGGCCAGAGCGAGAGGATGATCCAGACACTCGAGGATAAACTTCAGGCATTCGTGTTGGATTTTGAAGGTAGTGGGATGCATACCTCCCATTGCCAGAATTTTCATACAACAATATTTACCATGCTAGTATCGACCGACCTCCGTTTGAGATGTTGTATGGTCGGAGATGTAGGACCCCGGTTTGTTGGGGCGAGGTGGGACACCGAGTCATGGGGAGCACCGAAGTGGTGCTCAAGACTACCAGAATAATTCAACAAGTACGCGACCGACTACGAGTCATACAGAGCCAATAGAAAAGTTATGCTGATCGGCGACGATAAGACCTAGATTTCCAGGTGGGGGACTTTGTGTTACTGACGGTGTCCCCATGGAAGGGAGTCATCAGGTTCCGGAAGAGGGGCAAGCTAGGGCCCAGATACATTGGACCGTTCAAGATTTCGGCCCAAGTGGGTAAGGTGGCTTACCGCTTGGATCTGCCGAACGAACTTAGCCATACAACACCTTCCATGTATCTCAGCTTCGTAAGTGTGCCACCGACGAAGTCGTGGTTATTTCTCTGGACGACATTTAGGTGGACGATAGTCTAAACTACATTGAGAGGCCCGTCGCGATGTTAAATAGGAAGACCAAGGTTCTCCGGAACAAGGAAGTGAAGCTAGTGAAGGTGCAATAACAGCACCAAAGAGGCTCCGAATGGACATGGGAACTGGAGGATGAGATGCGGGATCACTATCCGGACTTATTCGTGTCAACAAACTTCGAGGACGAAGTCTAGTTCAAGTGGGGGAGATTTGTAACACCTATTCCAAGTATTATTTAATTTATCAAAGTTTTAGGGTTTTGTGCTTGGACTCGGTGAGTTGGGGAGCTCTAACTCGTCGAGTAGAGTCATTTATGAGGATGCGGGATTCAAATCCTACTCAACGAGTCGGAGGATCCAGACTAGATGAGTAGGCACTGTAACGAGAAATACTAATTTTCAAGGGTTTGTACCCTATTTAAAGAACTTATGGCTCATTTAAACCATCTTCCATCGTTCCTACAGCCAGAGAAACCCTATTTAGAGTCTTAAACCTTCATGAGAAAAAAGAGAGATTTTGAGAGTGATTTTTGGTGTGATAGTGAAAATTTTGGAGCTTGAATAAGAAGGAGCAAAGAGGTAATCAGTAGATCCAACATCTACCCTGTATTGGTGACCATATTGAGGTATAAAGTCACTATCTTGACCTTTAGTTGCTTAGATCTCTTTTCATGGATGTAAATGGCCACTTTTGGTGCCAAAAAGGGTGTCATCTTCGGATCTGGACTTGTCACAAGGATATGGTTCCAAATCAGTACCCCTCTAGGTCTTCAATGACATAAAGTTGCTCACTTTATTCAGCTTAGGCCCTTTCCATGCATTAAGACCTTGTAGGAACCTTAGTTTTGGTGTTTTAGCATTGTGAGGCCTTGCATGCACGTAAAGTTTGCAACTTTACATGGTAGCTACACTAGCAGAAGTTGGATCTGAATTTTAGGACCTTGGATCTCACTGGAAAGGACTTAACACAAAAAGGACTGAAGGAAATCATCGAGTCCCTTAGACAACTCGACGAGTCAAGTGGGGTTTACCCCATTGTCGAGATTCCTAGTGATTTCTGTGAAGGATTGGGGTTTTTGGTCTGCATGGGTTTTCGGTCTTCTCGACATTGAGGAACTTGACGAGTTACATAGCTAACTCGGCGAGTTAAAGAGTTACTCGGGAACTCGACAAGTTGCTGGATGCA